AGAATTATTTATCTCCTCTTAAATTCTCGCTACATTGTATTAATAAACTACAGTACACATAAAATTGCTGAGTAAATCATTCTGAGGTATAGATAATGACATTCAGACAATTATAAACCAGAGAAAAGATTAACTTGCAATACATTAATTGGGAAAGTTACTGTATTTTCATGCTTTCACTAAGAAGGGCCCATCCACTTTATGTTCTATGTAAAAATTTTTGTTGTTATGTTTTACAACAAAAACTGTATTCCCAAGCAGTCTCCACATGACTTCAAATTCATTTACTCGATCTTTCAAACCACAGTTTGGGTCTGATTTTTCTTAGCTGGTCAACCTAATCACTAAGCCGGACGGTGGGGTCAGCTTGCACTGAAGTGTGAGTCAATGCATATCACAGGATAACCAGTATTCACTGGGTGATTATACGGTGCTCCTGAGCCTTACTAGAGAGCAGGGTAGGACCCAACACAACCATATCTAACTCAAAGTACATGCCTGATCATTGATTACAAGTTGCTTTAGTATATTGCAAGAAAATAATGTAATATGCATACTTAGATGTCTTCATCATATATGTATATATCCATATTATAATGGACCTACATCATACATTTAATGAACTGAGGTCACATTGGTTTGGAATTCCCCTATCTGCTATGAAAGTTACTTTGTTCTGCTCCAATAGAAGTAGCTGTCACCATATTTCAGCTTTGCTTTGTGAAGTTAGCAGCAATCATCTTTTTTCCCACCCCTCCTTAGCTTGGCATACTCTGAGCTGCTTTCTCGAGGTCCTCATACTTTTTGTTTTCCTTTCTAAGAATTATGAAAAGAGCGCTGGTGGGAGAGTCAGCAGTTTGAACCCACCAGCTTCTCCTCAGGAAGGTTTCTGTAAAGATGTACAGCCTCAGATACCAGAAGGAGCAATTCTACTCTGTCCTATTGGGCTATGAATCATAATTTACTCAATAGCAATGAACTTGGTTTTTTGAGTTTGGGGGATTGTAAAATGCCTGCTCTTATGGTCACGATTAACAGCCTGAATTAGACTTTTGGTAATGATGATGAAAAATCATTTCCCAGGAGTTTTCATAACTGTTACCATGTGCCTAGGTGCCGGCTCCATAATTTAAGTATACTAACACTGTAACTCTCTGAGACTTCCTTTTTGAAATAGTAGTTGATGCATACTAAACGAAAAGCCAAAACACTGCCATCTAGTCAATTCTACCCTGAGAGAGGCATTGAATTAGAAGTCTTGTGACAAATTCAAAACATGGATTTCCATTTACTAGACTTTAGTAAAACTAGTGTTTTCTAAGTGAAATTGATGATGTGAAAGTAAAAATATCAAAGGTCTTCAAAAAGTTCACAGAAAATTTCCATTAACTTAAAAAAATGATTATTGTTAATGAGGTGGTTGGCAAAGCCTATCAAAGTTTCACATTAAACATTTTGTACACACTCCCATTCCCCTCATCCATTTCAGTTCCTTCAGTGTACCATCTGGGGCTCCTTTTCCCACCCTCTGAACTTTGTCCTTGGGTAAATACTGCACATATGAATAAATCTATGTACACACAAAATCTTCAGTGGATGATTATTCTAACAAGGAAGTGAGTGTAGTTTTAGACCCGAAGGGTTTCATTATCTTTGAATTGCATTTTCCCAAGAACTTTGCGAAGTCTGCACATGAACGTCTCATGGGCTTATGGGAGTCGTTTAGTTCTTCATCATTCAAGTAACAATAACAACAAAAACCTAGTAGGTCTAACTAAAGCTTAGTTTCTTCTAAGCATAAGACATAAATGATAACAGATTCTGATAATGCTACTAGATATTAAAATATTAGATGTGAAAATTCTAACAATTGATTCTGTCAGACACTTTAAGATGGGGATACCAAAACTTAAGGAGTGTTTGGCAAAGGTCATACAAAATTTGATTTGTGATCCAATTACAGTGTTTTCTAATACTGTCTCTAATATATTCCGTAAGCAATGTGCTGCCACCATATTCACTATTCACATTGGTTTTCAAAGGATCAAGGCATATGTGGGGTGTGTGTATGTGTGCATTTTCTGCCTTGACTTTTCTTCTCACAAGCTAATGGAAACAGTTCCAAAACAAGTACAGCACCCTCATCCCCTGCCTCTCCTCACTCCAGGAAAAGCTGAACCAGCCCCGACCTGGATATTCTATATCTTGGCAATTTATCTCCTGTGGTTATTTTCTACTCCCTCACACTCCCCAGAAAAATTACGCATAGCTCAATTTCTTCTAAGTTATGTCTCTGTAACTGCTGGAGGGTCACATGTAAACCTTCTCCTCACTTAGCAACTCATTATCCAACATTTCACATTTATGATGATAAAATCTACTATTTGATAAAATTGCACATTCATGATGTACTTTGTCAGTAATGTGTGACAAGAGCAGCAGAGTGGCAAGAATAATCCTGGCTTTGATAGGTAAAGTCGCGTGTCAATTCAGCTCTACCATGATTCTCAGTGGTTTGGCAGTTATGTAATCCTGCATGATATGATTTGGCATTTATGTGATGATGTATTCATCTTTTGTTTTATGATCTAATGCGGTCTCCCTTTTTGCACAATGACAATTTTTACGTAACGACCTGGTCTTTGAGACCGACCCACACTGATAAGTGAGGAGAGCATGTGTTCTATCTCTTACATACCTTGCGCTATTTTTCTTTGCTTGGTCTTTTTCTTCTTCTTTGTTTTTATTTTAAAATTATTTCATTGGGGGCTTGTACAACTCTTATCACAATCCGTACATCCATCCATTGTGTCAAGCACTTTTGTACATGTGTTGCCATCATCATTCTCAAAACATTTGCTTTGTACTTGAGCCCTTGGTATCAGCTCCTCATTTTTACCCTCTCTCCCTGCCACACCCCCTTCACAAACCTTTGACAATTTATAAATTATTATTATTTTTCCATGTCTTACACTGTCCGATGATGTCTCCCTTCACCTACTTTTCTGTTGTCCGTCCCGAGGGAGTGGACTATATGTAGGTCCTTGTGATTGGTTCCCCCTTACCCTGCCTACCCCTTGCCCTCCTGGTATCACTACTCTCATTATTGTTCCTGAGGGTTCTACCTGTCCTGGATTCCCCGTGTTTCCAGCTCTATCTGTACCCTTGTACATACTCTGGTCTAGCCGGATTTGTTAGGTAGAATTGGGATCATGATAGTGGGGGGAAGAATCTTCAAAGAACTAGTTGTATGTTTCATTAGTGCTATACTACACCCTGACTGGCTCATCTCCTCCCCACAATCCTTATGTAAGATGTCCAGTTGCCTACAGATGGGCTTTGGGTCTCCAATCTGTACTCCCACTCATTCACAATGACAGGAGTTTTTGTTCTTTGATGACTGTTACCTGATACCTTTGACACCTTGTTATCACACAGGCTGGTGTGCTTCTTCCATGTGGGCTTTGTTGCTTCTCAGCTAGATGTCTGCTTGTTTATCTTCAAGCCTTTAAGACCCCAGATGCTATATCTTTTGATAACTGGCCACCATCAGCTTTCTTATGCATCCGCTTTGTCTTCAGCATTCGTGTCAGGAACGTGAGCATCATGGAATACCAGTGTAATAGATCAAAGTGTTCTTGCACTGAAGGAGTACTTGAGTAGAGACCTAATGCCCATCTGCTATCTTAATACTAAACCTATAAATATATGCACGTAGATTTATTCCCCCATCCTCATATATAAATATATTTACATAAGTACATGCTTGCATTTAGAGCTTTATAAATGCTTTTTTCTTTTTTCTGCTCTTCCAATCAAAGATATTTCTTCCAAGGATCCAGGCAGTGAAAGTGAAAACTACAGAAGTATGAAATTCAGAAACAAGATAACTCTTCAATGGGTTCTCCTTTTTCATCTACAAGGAATTTTAGCACTCCCTTTTGTTTTGATTTGTTTTCCCCTGAATTGTAGTAATTTTTCTATTTCTCAGTGTTTGTGATCTGAAATATACTAAGCGTATTATATATTATCTATTTCCAAATTTATAAAATTGCTTGATTTACGGCTTTAGTGAGACCAGGGATTTTAGATAATATTTGGTGAACTTCTTCAATTTATAGCTGAGAGAATTTAAGTATGGAGGAATTATGTGGCCTTTATTATTATATCAGTTTCAGGAGCTTACAATGTAATCATTAATCTGTTCTATACATTTACAATCTTACCAGAAATTACAAAGAATTTCAAATTTATAACTTTATTCTTTGGTCCTGTTTAATATGTGTAATTATTTTAAATTACACACATATTCTTTAAAGTTTATGTATACACTTAAATAAATACTTGTGAAACTATACAACAAACACACTCACAGGCTTGGTTTATGATACATACATATCTATATGATAATTACATATATGTTAATTATTTAAGGGAGAAAAAAAGAAGTACAGGATAATGTTTCTCAATCTAATTGGGGAAAACTGATTGGAAAATAACATCTGATTAACAGAGTTCAAACTCTATAAGAGGTAGATAATAGAATTAATTGTGATGGATGCAGCTATTAGTTTTGCATGCTCATTTATGAAGAAACACATGTTAGAAAAAAATTCCCCTAATGCTTTATGAGCTATAATTCAAAACAGACACACCATACGCACACACCTCTAACTTTGGTTTCATTGAGCACAATTTCGTATTCAGCCTTCCTTCAAATCACAGGCAGTTCTGGTTGGCAAGTTCTAACAGAACACAGTCAAGGTGAAAAGCAGTCAGCCTCTGCTGGTAACAGTGTATTCACACAGCACAGGATCTCTGTCTGTTCAGGCTGCTTCTTGCTCTTGTCTCAGAATCGGAAAGGAGTGCTGCTTTCCTAGGGTGTGCTATTTGAGAAAGAAAGTAACCTAACACTAACTGCAGGCGGGGTCAGAGTGATGTAACAGGAAGCTCTGATGTTTCCCTCTGCTGCTGATCATTTACAATCTGACAACACTTCCAATCCACTCAGAACAACCCTCTGTCCCAAGCGGAGTGTCACCTCCTGCTTTAGAATCCTCCAGCTCTGCTAACTGGAACCCACTCTGCCTGCAGGAGCACGCTGCAAGGCTTTCACTCCTTCCCACCTTGCCTGGGGGAAATCTCGTCCACGGACTCAGAGACATTCAAATTCCATCCTGAGACAATTTCACAAAGAATTTCTTTAGGAGCTCTGCTGGGTAAGTGCACTATAGAAAACAGATCTTTTTTATTTTTGGATATGTTATCATATAGTTTAATAATGTTTGTACTATTGAATTTAGTTTGTTACTAAGGAATTTAGACATTGCAATACTGTTGAAACATGTTCTCATTTGTTTTACATGTTAAGGAATTATCTTAGCCCAAAATGTACATAAAATCTCTCACTATTATTACAAAAAAAACAAACAAAACCCAAACTTTATTTGCAGTGTTAGTCTGGAAAATAGATGATTAAGTAAAAAAAATCTAAATGGATTAAAACGCATACTGCTCAGGGCATATCTTAATCAGAGGGTAGTATCTTATATATTACCCTCAGCGTTAACTAAACTTTAATTCTGACACCTGGGAAGACTTAAAGGAAGTCTTTAGAAGTTGGGTTTGTTTTTGTTTGTGTGTATTCTGGGAAGGGTTTTTACACTTTCCATGGAATTTATCAGTATTTTATGAAAAGGTTGAAAGAAAAACTGCTTCTGGGATCTCAGAGGCTCCCTGCCTTTGTGGTTGCACACAATAGCGAGTTACAGGGAAAGTGATCGCTGTGGATTCATTTTGTTTGCCTTCTAGTTGTGTTTCACCTCTATGTACATCTCCATTGAACTAATGGAATTTTCATTGTTCATTGTGCCAGATGGTGTTAAGACTCTGTTGCTAACCCTGGGCTATTTCCACTGTATTGCATGATGGGATGAACTTCAAACAAAATTACAGCTAGAGTTGAGAAAATGTAGAGGTTATTAGATTAATTCATAATTCGGGCCCCTTAAGTGGGAGCATGTATTACTTTAACTTGTATGGGATTTCTCCGCAGGATTTGGAGTGTGTAATATAGAGATAACTGTGGCCTGAGAAACAAAAGAGGTTTCTAAACAAGTATATCAAGTTATTAAGAAAGAAATTAAAGTTAAAAAAATGAATTTCTGGGGATAAATGTAATGAAATGTTGATATATAAAACATCTATTAATAGTACAGACTATCCTGAGTAATTTAGGAAAAACTATCTGCTTAATAAATTGTGTGTATAAAGATAACACCAATTGGTTGCTAAAGGATATTAGATGTCAGATTGGTTGCCCGATTGTTGGTATGTTGATTGGCATATGTCTACACCATATATTTTCTTACCTACATTAAATATACTCACTGCGCCCGACTTTCTTCAATGGACCATCCTTTAATTAATCTCACCCATAATCTGGCATATTAACTAGTTGGCTGGTTACTCATCCGGAATAACTTCTTGGTAATTTTGCACCAGAGATTTTATTTAATGGAAACCTAAAATAACTCTTACAATTCTGGTTCTCTAAGAGAAAATCAAGTCAGATGCCCTACACCCTTTCAAGCTCTACTTCTGTGAGTTCCCTGATATATGTGTGAAACTGGGCAAAGGATTATAAAGTATGATTCTGTAAATAGCTATTATGTAATTGGAAGAAGAAATGCAATAAACATAGTTAGACACTTAACCTAATATTATAGGTAAGAATAAAAAGAAATTAATTTAATTTTAATAAAGATTATTTTCTTAGAAATACTGATCAAGTTAGTATGCTTTAGAATGAGGAACTCCCCAATATCTTTCATTGTTTGCTTAATTGCAAGCTACTAAAAACATATTTTTTGCATAATATGATTGGCTATTCATGACTGTGCTAATAATATGGTTTATAGTAGTGATTTTCAAATTGTAATGTTGACAAACACGAGGCAATGAACACAGAGGGTGATTTGACAACAGCTTATTTCATGAGTAAAGCCCAGTAAATTTAAAGGTAGAATTTATATGATTATATCTGAAATTTTTGTTCACTTAACAAGATATTGTTAGAATATCTATACATGTATTAGGTCATTAAAAAATTAATTTGCTTTCTGTATGCTATTTCTCTATAGAATCATAAAGCTAAGACATTGAGCCAACAGCCAGTCTAAATATGGAAACTAAAGCATGTTCTTGAAAATTCATGAGTAATTGCATTGAAATATGTTTTACCTGACATTTTCATTTGTATATGTAAGACAATACATATTTTCAATTATATAGGATAACTCTTCTTTATTTCTAGTTTATTTTAGCATATGCCAAAATATAATTTTATTACTTAGATTATGTATATTTTAGGAATATATAAACTGTTCATTTATTTTAAAAAATTAGAGAGAAAAAAATTAGAACATCCTGTAACTTAAAAATTTATTTAAAAAATGAATAATTAAGATATATATGCTTACTTATTAATGTTTTTACACTGATTTATGTTTTTATACCATTTTCCCCATGAGTAACAGATTTTTAAAGAAGGATAATATTCAAAGGGAAAAGAAAATATTTTTCATTTCATATGCTTTATATTAAAGTGGAAAATCTATTTGATAATGATAAAATATAATATGGTCATATATTACTAATTTAGATCATGTTTTGTAATCATCATAATAATATATTGCTATCCTTTATATCTATATAATTGTAATTTTATCATAACTTAATTTTAAAAGATTATCTTAGAAATGTATAGGAATATAAAAATAAATAATTAGCAAGAGATCAAAATTTGCTTTCACTAAGCAGAACTTATATTCTAGTTAGGACCTTGGATGTAACTCAAAAAATATTACTATTTTAAGAAATATAATGATTATGTTGTCAACTTGTCAGAAAAAAGATGTTGAAAAGATCACTTCTTTAAGCTTTATTCCTTGTTTTTTACTTGTTTGGAATTTGACAAGTTTGTAATACATAAGCACACCCCATCACTGCACCGCCATTAAAGTGGGGTTGATGACAGACACCCTAAGAAATGTAAGCCCCTCTCAGGTCTTGACTCAGTCAAGGTTCCAGAGCCTTGAGAGGGACCACGAATACACAGCGATTTAAAACACTTTAGAGGGTGGGGAAGATCTGGGTAGCACAAACATTATTTTTTCAAGAGAGTTCTCAGAATGCACGATTAAATTATTTATAGAAATGCTCCCATCTTCTGTGTGAAAATGTCCTGTTCTAAGTAGGTGGAGAAGAAAATCACAATATAACAGAAATATAAGATTGGATCTACATAGTAGCCATATGTATCAATTGTATACATATTTATTCACATTGAAGAGCCCTCTCCACCAAATTCTGTCATCATTAGTACTTACACATCTCCAAGGCTCGGACACTTCTTACCCTTCAATTTTAGGTCGCCTGCCTATACAGTGGTATCTTACTAGGAGGATATATGGTCATAATTATTGTAAAGGTTAAAAATAAAAGGTAGAATACACTTAATAGTAGAATTAGAGGATAAATACTGCACTAAAAGGAGAGGAAAGCAGTAGAAATTATGGATTCAAGATATGATATTTAAATTAACAAAGTCCTCTTAAGAACAAGAAATATACTTGTATACATTCTGTTGCAACCTAAATTTAATGGGCAAAATCCTCATTAAAGCCAGGTTATTAGATGTTTATGTCTAATCTATTGTTAAAATATTGTTCATTGAATCATATTAGGTAAGTGAATCACTGTAATTTTCTATATGTAAGCAATCTTAAGATAAAATTGCTTTTTCTTATTATATTTGTTTATAAATATAAATTTAAAAACTCAATTAAAATCATTCTATAACTAAAATACATACATAATGAAATCACTGACTATGAACTGTGTTAGAGTCTATATTTATTTGTTTTCCAATATTATTATCAAATGACAAATGGCAAGTATTTTTCTAAACCAAGTTTTGCCCAATATTTTTTAATTAATTTGGTTTCTTAAAAGAGAGCATATTAAAAATAAGCAAACAAAAATATGTAAAACCAAAAGAGTATGTTTGTTTTAATGATGTAAGACAGTTTATCATTTTATTTCTTTTTAATTTTATTACATACATTTCAATTAAAGTATATAATTTTTCATTACTCCCAGTGTAAAACACAGAGCACCAAACTGACTCAATCCAGAGGAAGTCATACCGGATTACTTCTATAATACTGATGCTAGAGGTTTACATTTTATTGAAGTTATTAGATGGAGCCAATTTCCTAGAACAGCTTTATTGTCCATAATATGGAACATGCCTTCTTAAATAATAAAGAAAAGTTAGAGGCTAGAGACTATTGTATAAATCTTAGCTATTCTCTTTTCTACTATTCTACGAAGTTTAGGTTAACTTGATCTTAATTGTGTTTATCCATAAAAACAGAATGAATCCTTACCATATAATATGTGCTGTATTATTAAATAGCAATATATACCAAATAGTACTATATTACACAGTTTTCTTTATAGCTTAGTCACATAGTAATGAGCACAACTGGCTTAAATTTCTCAACCAATCTGTGACAAATATGTCCTGAATCCAAAGGCCTATTTCATAAATTTTACAATAGAGTGTTAATTTGAACTCATGTTCATTAATTGATCTAAGACGTATTACTATGCAAACATGCTGTACACAACTTTAAGTTTGCCTCCTTCTAAAAATACCTTAAAGGGGAATGGAACTTTGTAAAGTACAAGAAAAGAATATATAATATTTGAACAGAAAACTAGAGAGGAGGATTAAAACTGGGGAAAAGATACCTTCAATATAAAACTACACTTTTCCTTCAGTTCTATAGTTATGGACAGATGTGAGGCAAAATGCAAGGCTTGGGTTCATGCACTTCATGACAATTTTAAATGAGAGTAACCTAATTAGTAGTACTGTCCAATCTATAGATTTCTTCTGGAAATTTTCCCTTTTAATGAAACTTTCAGTTGGTTTTATATCTTTCAGGGAAAAGGCATATCAATGCCTTACCTAAGGCAAGACAGCCATCATTGTAAGCACAGGTCTTTAAAGTTCAGATGTAACTTTTATTTGAAGCAGCTGCCTTCTTGTAATTCGCTCGTGTGTGTGTGTGTGTGTGTGTGTGTGTGTGCATATGTGTGCATTTCTCAGTTTGACCCATTTTTCTTTGCCTTTATTCCATGAAAGAAA